TAGTAGGCTGGGCGAGTGGAGGGCGCGCAGGATAAAAATTTGCCGTTTCAGGGCGTATATACCCCCCCCCCCCGCTCGACGGCATTTTTGGAGGAAAAAGTGGGCGGGGTTTTGATGGAAGATGGAGATGGTGGAGGTAGGGAAAAGGGGGTCGTATCAAATCCACCTTGGGGGAGGGGGGTCGTAAAAATTTTTCGAAAAGTAACAACGATAGGACAGACCCTGTGCAGGTAGTTGTGCTGAGCGGAGTTACCTATGGTCTTTCGTCATGAGACTTTACGCCACTTCCACAACTGACCTTTGTTGCGCTATGTTGGCCACTCTTCGGACAATCTGAAAAATCCTTTTGCCCGATCGTTGATTAGACCGGAATCATTTAATTTTCTCGCTGTGGGTGGTCGTTTGATTGGCATCCACATCGACGTGTAATGACCGCAGCACCACAAAAACCGACTCCAAGTCTCCCATTGGTTTCACAACCGCAACCTTCTATTGAAGGTACTTTCCGGGGTTCGAAAAGCCACAATTCTTTCAGAGAAATTCTTGTTTTCTCCAAAGAATTTTTTCTCATTGTATTCATAGAAAACTCGGGAAATATTCCTCACGTAGTGAGGAATGACGTTAATTCGTGGAAGAGTGTAGACGGTTCTATAAGGGCAAGGCAACAGTGAAACCTTATTCGCTGTAGTCATTCGCTTTCTAACCACAAAAAGAAGACGCCTTACTTGTCAAAAATGATAGGTTGTAGTTTTATGGGTAGCAATGTTCAACTGGCGAGCAACTTATCCGAATATAGGTGGTCTGCCTTACACAAATATCTATAGCAAAACCATTTGTTCTGCGGCGTTTTCTCGACACTGGATGATTAATACAATGTTTTGTGATATTTTGGTTGTGGCAGCTACTGTTTTTTCCCACGCATCCGCCTCATACAGGGGTTGGGAGGGGGGGGGGCAAAAGAACACTGCCGCACGTTGTCAAACTTTTCGCGGCTAATGATTGAAGTTTCACGACAAAAAATTCCTTAGATGCCCCCCATAAGGAAAAGCAGGTCTTCTTCATTCGCTGCTCTCACCGTCCTCAGAATATGTCTGCCATCAACGGGCGGGAAAAGTTATTTTGCCCATGGTGCATATTCGTCGCACAGGATGCCGCTGTTGATAGAAGTTCAGTAGCATAACATTTCTTAAATTTCCCCTTTATCCAGAGGAGACCCGAAAAGACCCTTTCGTGTTCTCACCATCTTCAAAATATGGTTTCAATTTAGCAAGGGAGCCTACGGTGATTGCTGCAGCCCGGAGCTGCAGTATAGATTCTTCAATCAATCAAGTAGTAGATAGCTCTGTAGATGTGAGTATGCAAGACCCCTGCCGGCAGCGTTCCCGGTAACTTCGTAATGCCCCCTTACCCGTGGAAGGCCTGGTTGAGTTAGAACTGTGCATCATATTTCCTCGAAAAAATCTTCTAATCTGCCGCCATGAAGGAGGCCATGAGGGTTTTGATAGGCTGGAGATGCGCTCTTTGCGTACTCACTTGAGGTATTCAGAGTTAGTTTGAGCGAAGATATATTTCCGTTTTAAATGTAATGTACGAATGGCACTAATGTTGGTTCCCCCTGAGGGCATTAGGTGAACTCAAAATATTAGTTCTAATCACTCCATTTTCCTTTCCTAGCGTTAATCTCACGACGTCGGCGGTCCGCTGTTTTTGTTAGGCCTCAAAACGTTCTTCTGTCTTCTTTTCGTTCGTTCATCTACTGCTGACTTCTAGTAATGTGAGCTCTTCCCTATTACGGGCCTTTTCACTTTATTTGGCAATCCTCGTGTTCGCTTGCCTTTATATGCGATCCATCGTCATTCTTATTGGGTGATTAATATATGGTCTTTCCTAGCAGATACGATCATCAAAGTATTGGGTTGGTGTATAATACCGTAGCGTTTTTCTTTTCGAGCTAATCTAGAGAATACAAGTATAACCCAAGAAACACACATATACCGTTTTGAAAGGGCTTCTTCTGCCCTACAATACCATGTTTGGCATTTTCTTCTATACTGTAAGTGTACTCAGATATGGCGCTTAGAAGTTGGAGAATCAAGGTGGGCGAAAATCCATATAGAGAAGAAAGCTGCCAAAATAGGAGTTTTTCGGAATCCATCGTCATCATCGAACCTTACTCCAGTCGACCCTTAATTTCAAATCATATTCACGTCGTACATATTGAAAATAATGAGGATTCTAGAAACGGGCTCAGTACCCTTTTTTGATTTCTAAACCTGGTAATTTCTTGCGAAATGGAACGAAAGTCGTAAATAATGATGAGAAGAACATCACTGATCAGTTTTATGCTTAGCTTTGCTTTTGGGTTTTGCTTTAAACGTTTTTGCCAAATGCGAGCGATATCCCAGACTTAATATAGTTCTCGTCTACAAAAGTTGCCGGCTTTCGCTTGCCAGAACGCAACTGCTAACGAGAAGATATGGCAGACAATCGCTCCGCCGTTACTACTCTTGATTTTCCGATAATATTGAGGTTTTTGTCGAGCGTATCGCTGAAATTAGTTGAGAGCATTTTGACCGTTTCTTTTAGAATGAGCGCGATGAGCGAGTGATTACTACCCCGAATTAGCAAAAGGAGTACACGAGAAATTAGCGGACTGATAGGTGCTAAAGAACCCTGTTTTCTTGCCACCATGCGCGTATTTATGCCCCAACAGTTTCCCTTTTACCAATATCAACCACGCCCTATTGTGCGAACGTCACATCTCATTATCGAGCGTTTAATCCAAAAACTTGAAGGAGATCACACTGATTTCTCCTAGTGGCTACCGAAAAAAGGGCTCGGGCCGTGGATAGATTACTGATTGATTCTATACCTTGATGGCAACGCAAGACGAGTAGGGAGCACTGCGTTTAGTTGCTTTCTATCATGCCTTTTCCGAAAGGGTCATGGGTTATCTCAGCTAGGTATGCGCATAAAAAGATAAAGCATTTGCCGTTGATCAATCCCGTTTTGGGATGCGGCACGCATTCTACTTCCATTTGTACATTCGTAGTGGCATTTGAATGCGATGTGGCCTATACAATGACTTGCGGGGGCCAGCCGATGTCAAGTCAGTGTTTTATCCTCCCAGACAAGGCTCGACTCCGGAGGGATGGAAGGCTTGGTTGGCCTGCCATGACTCAGGCATAGATCCTCGGACCGCGCGCATGGTGAGCAGCGCTACTTACCACCCCTAGGTATACGATAGCCGGTACAATGTCGCTGATAATTCCAATATGAGTTTTTGTGTCTGTATAGGTTTTCAATGTGCTATTAACCACGCTTGTGCCTTGATTATTGAATAACACAGGCTGGTGCCGGTTTGTTGGTGATGTGTGTCCTAAGATATGCATTTCTAATCATTCTGACGAGCACATCATTTCAGGAACAGTTCGACATGTGCACGATTCATGAACATGACGAAGAAGAGTACTTGTAGTTTTTCACTGCTCACCTGCAGTCCGTCGTTCCGTTCATTGACCAGGCCAAACGGGATCCATTCGGGTCGTCCATTAGAACGTTTCCACACTTTGGAGAGGGTTGGGTAGTATGCGTGTTTATCACCATTCTTGTATCACTGTATACTTTTTTGTTGGCCTGTTCATTATTAACTCCATTACATCGATGATCGATGTGCTGATCAAAACTTATCACTGTTGCGCCTTATCGGATTACCTTAGTGGGTTATTCGGAGTTTCCCTGTGTACGTACGTTTACATGATGTGTTTACCTAAGCGTGTTTTATCATTTATATTGTGAATTTCTTCCTCCATTCAGCGCTCGTACTTGTCCACGATCTCTTGCCAATTGTCGTTTTCCGGTTAGGCTATTCATTTCCGTTTGATTTATTACTTCGATTCTTTTTCGTCCATAGAAAGTGCTACACGCCAAATTGGCAGCATTCATATCCTTGATTTTACATTGTTTCTTTATGTTGACGGGAAGATCATTCGACAGCTTTGTTGATCCCCGTCGTACTCGGTTCCTTTTACTTGTTATGCAAGATAACCCCCACTGAGCAGTGAGCTTTCACGGGACATCTAATATATCGCTTCTGTCTGAGTATGACTACGGTATACATATATTCTATTTCAGTGTTCTTGTACTGGCAAAGAAGACAGTTTTCTTGATATACAAATATGCATTGCTATCTTAGAAGACCTGAAAATCAAGAAAAACAAGTAGTTGAAGCACTTGGTATTTCTACCAGTTCAATAAATGAAAACACAATGCCAAGCGGTTGTTCACCCTCTGGCTCCTCTTCCTCCGATGAGACTTAGGACAACTACAAAAATCGTGAAGTAAGGTACCCTCTATTTCGGAAGACGAGAAGAGCGTCGAGTGCAGTGACGACGACCATTGACCCAAGTGACGGCGACCAAAAGGAAATCACTTTTTTTCTCGGCCGTCGTTATTTGCGGTGTGTGGTCTGCACTTCTTGATACTTCTTGGCTCTTCTCGTCTTCCGAAATAGAGGGTGACATGATTCACTGGTCACAGTTACGGTAACGCCTGCGAAAGTTTTCGTTGCCCATGTAGCGCTAGGCGGAAGTGGTGTAGTGACAAGTGGCGCGCTCACCACGCGAGCGGTCCGGGATCAAATCCTGGGTCGTGAGTCGCCCGGGCCAACCAAGCCTTCCATCCCTCCGGGGTCGGTTAATTGGTACCAGACTTGTCTGGGAGGATAAAAAACACTGACTTGTTTTCTTTTTCTAATGCGATGTGGCTAAAAACACTGACTTGTACATCGGCTGGCCCCCGCAAGTCATTGTATAGGCCACATCGCATTCAAATGCCACTGCGAATGTACAAATGGAAGTAGAATGCGTGCCGCATCCCAAAAAGGGATTGATCAACGGCAAATGCTTTATCCTTTATCCTTTATATTGTAGAGCTAAAGTTAGACAGTAAGAATCGCTTTCAGGTATGCGGATGGAGATAGTGAGAGCTGCGTGTAAGTGGGCCCACAATAATGGCCAGAACCCGAAATGGACCCTTGCTCCCTCTGGACGATGGTATTCAATGCGCAATGCGTGTAATAACCGCGAATGTATGGAGGACTACGAGGCGTAGGGGTCGACGGTAGGCCATCTACAATGACAGCGAATTATGGTGAGTGACGAAAGCGCTTGGAGGGACAAAGGCTAACTTTGATACTTAGAGAAGGCAATTTGGTGTGTGTAAGCCGCAATGCTTCTTCGGCAGATCGTTACCATCATTCAGTTTTATTGTACTCTCAGCCGGTTGAAGGTTGCAGTTCCCACAAAAGTCGGAAGCGATCTTCGGTGAACATTGTTTTTCACGGAAAGTTGTGCGAAATAATCTCAAAAACAAAGAGCTAGTTGCCGAAGGATGCGAAGCGAGGAGACTTTCAGACGTGAAATTTTCAAGGTGCTAGAGGTAGCTCATGCTTTCTCCGTTGACAGGTGTAGAGCATCTTAGAGCTTTCGCGGGGAGCGTGGTTGAAGCAAACACCAATATGATATGCGTGCTCTTAGGCTTTAGGAGTGGCAGCTGCGCAAGCGCCTGCCCGACCCGCGGTATCACGAATATATATAGTTCATGTTTCATGTTTCTTCATATTCCTTAAGGAAGCCTAAAACTGTGCCCATATATAAGGTTACCTAGCGATGGGGTGGGAACATGCAGCGCTGTCTGCAACCAAGATTCAAAGCACTAGTCGACAAAAATTGTGCGCCAACGATTCCAAAGGATACTGAACACAAAAAGGTTTGACGCTCAACCAGTGTCAAACGAGGAGTCGAGGAAAATTTTGTTTCACGACACCTCCCCAAGAACTTTCCTTGTAGAAAATCCCTTTTGTCTCATGTAAGCCCACGCTGGGGTTGAATTTTTTAGAAGAGAAAGTTTTTGGGAAGGTGTCGTGAAAGTTGTTCAACAAGTAGAATAAATCGAAGCGAAGATCACTAACAATTAATTCTACAAAGAAATGAAGAAAAAACAATGAACTAGCCATGGAAAATATTAAGAGGAAAGAATGACCAGCCTGTGGTATAAAATGCTGCGGGTGACCGCTGAAACAACTTAGCCAACTCCACAAAGGAACACGTTGGAATTTGGACACGTATTCAAAAGATTTCCTTCAAAATTTTCAGTCTGAAAGTAGCTTTGGAAGCTTTCGACAAGCTCCTTTTAATCGTATAAGAGAAAGGTCTGAGCAAGATGTATATCGGACCAGAAGGAGGCGGTAGGTGTGTATATTGTGGGCGGGTCAGGACAAGACCACCTCCGGAGGGGAACATTTCACATGGGAAGGTCCCGACAAAGGTGTTCCACTGCAGTAGTTTCCAGTTTCTGAACTCCGGTGTTCCAGAGCTTCATTGCTTATAAGTTCCAGTGTCCCAGTTGATATCGTTTCTCGTTCCCTTTTTCTACTCCTGTTTGTTCTCCCCTACTTGGCGGGGAGGGGGGCTCTCGTCGTGTTCGATAATCTCACGTAGCGCCATTGTGGCGCTCGGCTGGTAAGGGGCCTACAAGGCCCTTGAAGAGAGAGGTGAGTACAGCTCGAACCGGAAAGGTCTGGGGGCCCTAAGGACGGGTGGGGGGGCAGGAGGTCTAGGTTGACTCGGGAGCGCCTGTATGGGCGAGTAGAAGGCGACCCTTCGTCATTAGGCCGGAAATTCCACAGAGCGTCACGGTGCACTTATAGTGCCCGTACGTGTCTGATTCCAGTTTACAAACAACCGCACTCGCCACCACTTAATCATTCGTTCGTTAAGTTGTTGTTTGTTGTTTTTATTGTCCAATAAGCAGGATAAAGGATAAGGGCGGAAGTGGTGTAGTGACAAGTGGCGCGCTTACCACGCGAGCGGTCCGGGATCAAATACTGGGTCGTGAGTCGCCCTGGAAGTAGGAAGCGTGCGGATTCAAAAAAAGTGATCGAACGCGCGTAATACTTTATCCTTTTTATCCTTTAAATAAGCAGCCCTGAAAGCATTTTGCGCGACTTATATCGCAAGGTTCGACTCAGTCGTTACTCGTCGTAATATTGTCCGGGCCTATGACGGTTTGAGCATTACAACTTAAAGGAATTGTCCTAAGAAAACCTGCCTACACACTCACCAGAATCTGATACCTTGGCCCCAATGCTCCACGAAAATAACACAAAAACGGAAAGAAGCCTGGTGCGGACAAAACAATCACAACAACTGGGGAGCCTATAAGAAATTTGTAATCCCGCCGTAAAACTGCCACAACTGTTAGCGTTGGGGAGTCAACACGCACAAATGTGTTGAAAGCGTGAACGGTGAACGGGTTTCATGTTGAACCTTTTCCCAAAAACTTACACGTGGCTCGCACCAGCCATGCACTTCGTCACAAAAGCACTTCCGGTCCTACCCACCGTGGCAGATGCCGACCAGCAGATGTCGGGATGGGATAGCCTTCTCGTGGACGTTTCCTTTCAATTTTAATCCAGAGGGAAATTCTTGAAGTGCAAGTTTTTCAACTTCTCAAAGCCACAACTTTCCTCAAATCCCTGAAAATCTTGAAAGTTAATAAAATTTTGTAAGCTGAAGATTTGGTCTATTTATTAGTTATTGAAGTGACTTGATTCATTCGGTGGGTCTAAAATGGCTCTGGTGAGGATTTTATTCGGCTGATTGATTCTATTCGTAGTTGATCTCTCAAACTACCTACGGCTACCGCACCTTTGCTCAATGTTTACTCCAGCACTTAGGACCCCTTCCTCTTAGCAGGCCGAATACGACCCGCGAGGACTCCGCAACGTCCGCTTAACCCTGCTCTCAACCTTCGCGAATGCGCCAAAATCTACCCTTCCCACCCCAGTTGTTCTGATGGATAGACAGCGATTGCTGTGCCACCATACGTACATCGTAGGGTATAAAACAATTGGCAAACTGTTCAGCTATTCTAGAAGTACAAACTAAGAGGCCGAAAGAATAGTAGAATTGTGAAAATTAGTATACAGGGTGGCTACTAAATATTGGCGCATGGTTAATTGACCATATTTCCAAAAAGAGAATCTATTAAATCTTCAGAAGTTTATCTTTATATACAGTAAACATAACAATTCATTACTAAGAAGATGCTCGGAAAGAAGTCCTCCGGCGGCGATACAGGCTTCAAGTCTCTTCTCAACTGACATCACCGTGGGCCGCAAGCAGTTTTCGTCGAGTTACTTCAACGCTTCCTCCTAGGAAGCCTTCAGGAAGTCCAAACTTCGATGTTGCCTAGAAGGCATCTTCTGCTGCAGGAAGCCCCACACCGCAAAATCCATTGGGTTCAAATCGGGTGAGTTAGATGGCCAAACATTTGTGACCAGTAACCTGGAAAATGGCGGTCACAGAACACCAGCGTAGATTTTGCGGCATGGGGAGGCGCCTAGTCTTGCTGAAGAAGGCACTGACATTTGCTGGAGGTCGAAACAGTCCATGGAACGAGCACATCACGTAAAAT